GACGCTTTATCAAGGTCTTGAGTCGTTTTACAAGCTCTCCGCATTCGATATTCTTTGGTATGTCTCCTGAACACGAAATACCTGAACATACTGATTTCCGTGGATCTATGTCGTGACTGACCTTTCCCGGCCACAACTGCCAAAATCTTTAACGCAGCAACGACAACGATCGGAGCTGAGATACAAATGTGGAAGAGGAGCGAATTGAGAGGTGAAGACTTACATCTTTCTTTTAACATAACAAAGATTTGTCGGATGAAATCGGATTGTTTAGAAAGAATGCAAGATGCATCATCTTTAGTTCGATCGCATATGAGATGTTCGAAACGATTCAGATGAATAATGCAACTAACCAAAGCGTTGGGCAAGGTATGACAGCGTCCTCATCGCGATTAGTTTGTTTTCGCCGGTGTTCCGACAGAGCTCAACGATTCGACCAACCATATCCTCTTTGAGGAGCTTCTCTCTTAGTGTTTTGATCTCGCAAAGAGCCGGAAGAGCCGCACAGGCTCTGCCTTGGTATTCCGTGTCTTGAAGCATGGTAGGAACATCAAGACTGTCTAGTATTCTTTCCGTGTCTGCGTCCGCGTCCTTGACTGTGCATTTCTGAGAGTTCGTCGAGGCAGCAATGTAAAAGCAAGACATACTGAGTGCGCAGTACGCTACGACTGCACTGAGGCACACTTTACGAGCAATGCGTTCTTCTTTGGCCGCGTCAGCATCTGTGTTCTTCAGGTCCAATATGGGAGATGTCTCCCCCTTCTCGTCTGGTGCGTATTTAACATTTGCGATAGTTTTGCCATGAATGCCAAGCAAGGCTTCTAGCGTCTCGAGTGCATTCACCTTCCGCACCGCTTCAACTCCGAGTTCTGCAATCCATAAGATCAGGTTAGTATGTCAAAATGGTCTGGGATCTCACCGAATGAACACATGAAGGCCAAGCGATCAACATAATCCAGGGTGTGTTTCTTGTGAATTGTACCAACGAGATCTTCAGCAGTCGAGCGATTGAAAGGAACTTCCCAGGCATCACCCAACTGTTCCTGGTCATAGGCAACATGAAAGTGAATTGCTTCAGGCCATTGCTGGAGATTTCTCCAGAAACTCGCTTTCGACCGATAGTGGGCACGAAACAGAACCGACGCATGGACCTTTTGGCCAGGTAGGATGGTACGACCTTTTCCAAAATGCGGTCTACAAATGTTCAATGTCTGAGTCAAACGGAACAACATTGCCACTTACACTATTGTATGCTGGTTAGAATTGTTGTAACAAAGACGTCTGACAGGCAATAGCTCAAGCAGCCACCACCGAAGTGTTAACGAGTTGTTAATATTGGGTTCCTTCAAATCTTCAAATCTGAAAGCTATCTTGGGTGGATTGAGCAGAAGCCCTGCATCGAAAGCTTCTTCTCGCATCCATAGTAAAGGCATGTCTTGGAAATTGAGCGCTTTTCCCGTCTTCTCCCTGTTTCCACCACCGCTGGAAAAAGTTGTCAAATGATGGCCTTCCCGTGCAGGGGATACATACATATCCGAATGACTACCAGCAAACCAAACCTCCTTGACATTATCTTCCTTGACATCCTTGACAGCATTGTTTGGAGGTTGCGCCAATTGGGATTCGGGTCGATCGCTCGTGCCTCCGTAGACATACTCAGGTAGGAATTTCACCCTGCGCTCATCAAGCGCAAGGCCCTGACGGAAACAGCAAATGTGATCGCATGTATCGGTGGATGGTAGAATCTTTTCCTTCCTGATACCAACAGCCGAAACGGTGTCCCTATACGGCGTATTGATCATGCTGGTGTACTCGTACTCAGGGATAACGCTCACCATACGCCGAGGAAATGTATTACTACGCGTCTGGAGAACGTCGACCTGAATCCTGCCGCAAGTAACTTATCCTTCTTCTTTCCACTGTTGATGGCGGAGTAAAGCTCGTAGGCACTGCTGGCGTCAGAAAGTCAGTCAGGAACGATCATCAAATATACTCACTAGGGGATCTGTTCTATGTTGCCGGGTAATATGAGTCCCATCTATCGAAAGAATGTTAAACAAGAAAGATTATAGATCATAAATTGACGTTGATGGATACCTCGTGGATCATTCCTGCCAATACACGAACTTGGTAGGCACCTCTCGAAAACCCTGGCCTTGCATTTTAGTGCAGCTGACTATATGCAACGTCCAAGGAACTTACCAAACAGGAAGATCTTGTCACCAGGACGGTACGTGTCTGAGAGCCATCTGTAGGCTCCCATAATAGTTCGACTGATATTACTTTACTGACGTTACCCCGAACCATGAAAAGTCAAAGATATGATGCTTACAGCGCAAAGGCCAGATCAAAGACACTCTCGATCTGCTTCATGCAATGTGTGTGTCCCTTAGCATACGTTCCTACACCACTGTTGTAGTACGTTAACTGCTTGCTATCCTTGACCATCTCGCTATACAGTTCGACGATATTGGTGTTCTGAGTGTAAATATTGATTGTCAAGAAAATCAGAAGGCATGAGCGTCAGACGACCTACTTTATCACCATACTTGTTTGATGTCCCGTCTAAAGACATGAATAATCTTCATTGGGAGCTGTAAGCTAAAACGCCCACCGATACAAATGACCAGATTTCTCCCTGATGCCTGCTCCCCGGAACACTTACACGATACCATAATCCGAAATGGTCAGCGACTACCCAATTTGGAGCCGTAATAGTAGGATATGCCACAATGGTGGCTTGAATGCACGAGATGTTGGATGAATTCCCTTGCATCAACGACGTTTTATATTGTGCTGGACAGGGCCTGCCCACGAAGGTTTTGTCATACGATGACCTATGCATAACTGCATGCGGCACACGTGGAAACACTATACCCGGCCTCCTGGAGAAGCGCCACACTAGATCCATGAAACTGCGGTACGATTAAGTGCAATACTTCGATATTTTGCACACCACGTTGCAAACCTTACGCCTCAAGTAATGATGCACGGCAAGGATGCGCAATATCCTTGGCGTCAGGTGCAACGTTGGGCGTCTTGTTCGATTTGTATGGACACAGAATGCAGGGGCTCAATCAGGAAGTAATGAACAGAAGATGGAACATGAGGCTGCATTGTGGAGACGCCAAAACTCTGGGATGGATAAAAAGTCGTCGAATGAAAAATCACAGGTTACGTACAAGGCTTGTTTTAAATCATATTATATCCACAAACTCTTGTAGGGTAGAAGTGACTTTGCGGCTCACATGATTTGTGAAGCTTTCAAATATCGACCGATCCTTGCCCTCAACCCAGGTGAAGAAAAGATCGCATGCAATGTCACTTGAAGTACAAGACGATCGTTCGCGACATTCAACCGAACAACGCAGGACTGGCAAATTTTGATCCGCGCAGATTGTTTCTGGAAGTTTTCCCCTTCGTGCTGCGCGGGACCAGGTGTTACTTCGGGCATGCACCAGCATGGTAGAAGAATGATCATGAATCGCAGGCGTAGCCGAGGATGTAACCGTGATGCCATTAATAAGTGCGAGAACATTTCGTAAAGCGCTTGCCAAAATGTCTGCAGATCGAGCGCCCGGAAAAGCGTGATGCAGCGTGTTGCGAGAAGGCATTATATTCTGCAAGGCTGGGTTGGAGACGCGAGCGAAGGCCTGGACCGTGATGAGGTAAATGGCTTGCATGATGGTGAAGTCAACGAGAAGTCATACATCAGGAAGCCTGGCATCTTGAAATGACCAGCCAATAGCCCAACGACGAGTTTGACCCTGAACAAACTCTGTTATAGCATAGTTGTCTACCTTACGTCACCAAATTAGATAGTAGAGTGCAGAGTTCCACGACGCACGCACGTTGTGTTCACGAAAGAGGGAAACAATATCAGGAATTGATGACATCTTCCCAAGCATAGAAGTGTACCACCTATGGGGACGCATCAGCACATCGGAAGTCGCACTGTCGATGCAATTAGGTCACCGGCACTTCGTCCTCAACTGTAGGCTTTCTAAAAAGATCCTAGCAACAAAATTTGTCTCTCCCCCTGGTGTTATCATCTCCACTTCTGCTCCGGAGCAAACCTGAGTCAATTAGTTAAATTATCTTACATGAGTGGACACTGTCTTTCTCACCGCATTTGGACCAAACTCCTTGAATTCGGCTGAGCGCGAAACGTCTTCGGCGCTGCTATAAAACGGTGGGTTACACATGGTGAAGTCAAAATTCATTAGACTTGTATGAAGGGGTTGAAGAATAGGCCCATCAGCCTGTACACGCTCGACAACAATGCGACTGTCCATAGAATTCTGAGAAACGTTTTGTTCGGCGAATTGGATGGACCGTTCGTCGATATCTGAATCATATGTTCCCGTTACATTTCGAAAGTATATGTACCGTTATGGCACTTACCGGTAGCTACGAAGTTCCAGATATCTTCAATACCACAAGCCAACAAGGGGTAGATTGCTGAAGCACCAGTGCCACTGAGTGATGTTTGCTCCACGTGCGTTCAGACCAGTACTAATGTGACGCACATGTCAAGTCCTCTGATGGTAGCGGAACCGCAAGTGAATTTCACTATATCTTGTAGCCAAAGAACATAATTTAATCTGTGGAGCAGATTTCAGCCTTCCTGCATTGATCCTCTAGAATGTGAAAGCACCTATTCGGCACCTAATGTGCATATGGTGTGAGATAATATAAGCGCCAGCAAAAGGCCTCACCGGAGGGCAGAGTCTATCGTCCGGCAGGGTTAATGAAAGACCATAGTCAAGATGAAGGAGTGCTTCTGTTAAACGCCTACCCTCATTAGCGTACCGCAACAAACGGAGCTTAGACTTATCATTGCTCACTTTTGTGCAGGAAGGTTTTTGAAATTTATCGTGCTTGATCCTGTATGGTTGATGAAGACACTGGATAATTTCAGTATTTCTCCGAGGCTTTCGTCCAATGAACGCGTACTGTGGTCTGAGAGGAGGGTAGCGCCTTGCAAGGTCAGTAAAATCAGGAGGTTTATTATACGGATTGCGAGGATGCATGTAATGTGTTTCCCAAAAACTTGAACAAGTCAAGAGTAAGAGGGAACGATCACTGATCGTTGAGTGACACAGTGACCTCAGTCCGAGTCTGCGAGTCTGGACAAATTACTAGCGGCTTACTAAGCGAGTCCAGAGTCCGACTAAACATTTCCTGAACCATGCTCTCGTCGGACTCGTCCACACTGCATACCGGTTTAAATTCGTAATTTTTGACTTTTCTGGGCCTGCTGTGGCATCCTCACTCACTCAAATTACAGAGAGAACGAAATAATCCCTCAAGCTCCTCCAGTACCTTTATTGACGATTGTTTTCTTTTTCTTCCACCTCACTTCTAATACACATGCACTGTATTGGGTCTTCTGGGCATAGACTTGGAAGATCACCCATACTGTTCTAAGTCTGTCACGAAGAGTGTCATTATTAGATTGAAGTATAGCCGATATCAATGGCGAGAAATTTCCCATACAGACTTGAGAATGTATGGAACACTTTTTCCTCCTCATCCAAAATTAGCCGCTCACAAAATTAAGAGTTCCTCCCGAGGCCTGAGCTATAACTGTGAGCCAGTTGATACGGCTTCGCGTATAAAGCCCTCGTGTTTCTCAAGAACCCTCTGGTTGCTGAGCTCAATTTCATGTCCGCCAAAAGAGTCTTATCTGATATTTACTTGTCCATAGTATGGGTGCCTACTACCTCGGCAACTTTGAGGGTGTCCAAATGTCTTCCACATGATTCCGGGAAGGAAGTTTCACATGAGGTCTTCAAGATCAGAGCTATTTGTATCTTGCGTTTGGACTATGATATCCTGATCGATGCCGACTCCCGAGGATAAGTATGACCAAGGAGCATGAGACCGCTACTATTTGCGAGGAAATGCAGAACCACGATGCTGCCTGTATCTGTAAAGCGGCCTCCAAGTGATGAATATGAAACAAAGAACAAGAGTTCTACCACGAGTAAGATTTGATTTCTTCGCCCATCCTAGATGCATAAATATATCTGATATCTCAGGCACGTTTATCAAATTCAACATCCTTTGGTGCTCATAGTAGCGGCATCTGATTGGAAAAGATGTTCACACCTACGAGCTACGTGTCGTCGAACTGCTTTTCCTACGATACTCGCGGTCAAGTCCAGAACATCCATTGAATTCAACAAACGGCAAGATCGGACGCGAGTCACTAGTGCTGGGGCAGCATTATTTATGGGCAATTATGCTGATTATGCCGGCAGAAGTGGCGATTCTTGCCACTTCTGTCACTTGGCAGAAATCTCAAAGCGTTGCAAAGCTATGTGCATGACAATGTATGGTATAGGAAACACTATTAGAAGAACACCAGCACGTCCACATCCCACTGCCCGTCGTCATGTGAGCTGTGATCGATTGATTAACTATCATGATCTCGTCAACAGATTTTGGTGGAAGACCTCGGTCAAGATTGAAATATTGATGTGCGAGCGCCGAGTGGTGGTGCCTACACAAAATTGGCTTCTAAATCGACGTCGATGCCTGGCTGGGCACCATGGTGTGCATGGCGTCAACGAATTGGCTTCCCATTAGCTACGGCCTTGTGATGATTATAGTACAGACTGTACAAGTGGTTTTTTTTCTACTCTACTCTACAAGTCAGTTGCTCTGAGTCGATCGAGAAAGGTTACATCATTTACTGTGATCCCCTGTAGCTTGTAGGGATTCATGCCCGCAGAATTCTGCCATAGCACCGTTTTGATAGAACCGGCTGGCTTCCAAGTTCCTACTGTACCTGGTCAAATTTAAAACTACTAAATTAGGCAACAGGGGACCGTACGACTGGTTTAAGCCGACCGGCGACAACAACAGCACTGGAAATTCTGCCAAGCAGCTGAAATGATGATTGTACCACGGTCGATCTTGGTCCCACCACTAAGCTGGCAAGACCTGGACCGTAAGTCATACGTATTGCATCCACATGGTAGCAGATCATACGAGCTCCGAACCTTTTCCGACGGTCCATGAATATTTATACTGGAAAACCCACACAATGTTATCCCATACCTATTACTCATCCCACCCTTACTACTACTCGGGTGCGCGACTGCACTGGCAAGAATGCCACGTCTGACTTTCGCGGTACTCACTGGCATGCAGCTTCTCGCTCGTGTATCAGCTCAAACATGGTGAGCATTGTTCGTTTGGATATCCCGACCACAACTTGTGTGACCAACATTTTTGATCCCTTCCGAAGGTGTAATAAGCACTACATGGCCAATCAGTCTGTTGTCCCACCAGGAGGCGAATTCACTATCCCAGCTGTGTCAGACGTCCCACTTCTTGCCTTCCGGTGTGCGGCAGCTGTAAAACCTTACTTGGAAGAGGATGTAGGCACACCTGCAGGCGTCCTCATTGATTCACCCGTGGTGTACTCAGAGATAGTCGGGGCACAACCAATCGGCCTCCCCGCAGGGCCCCTTTCTAGTGCGGGACAATTGGATGTCACTGTGAGCCTGAATGGAAAGACTCTCGTCAATGCGCTTGTCCCACTCAATGCTTCTGCATATGAGC